TGTAGCTACCTACGACACCCCGCATGCAAGTTCGAGCACAGAAGAGCCGAAACCATAGGTCGGGTGTCCAGGATGTCTCTTGAGTTGTGTACGCTTTTTGGTCGGTTTGTCACATCTACATTGTATCCCCAGCGTGTCTATCCCTATGTATGCTACTCTACACTATCTATTGACTCCTAATGTCGGCGAGTATGCCGTCGATTGTAGCACCCTCGCGCGAGTCTTTCCAAACTCCAGTGAATTTACCGCTCCATCGCGGCCCCTTCCCTCCGCCCTTCACACCCAACTTGCTCTTCAGTCCCTCGCCCACCGCCTTCACCTTCTGCTCGTCTGAGCCAAATATCAAGACTACGCTCGTACTCGAGGTGGTCTGCGAGGAAGGGGAGGACGACAGAACAACCAGGAACGACGGCGCCGGCGACACGGCAGCGAACTCGTTCGCAAAGGCCGACGAGATCGCCGAGAGGAACGCGAGCGCGTTCGCAGAGTCGTCCGTGCGGTGCCGATGCAGGACGCCGTCGTCCCGGACCGCTGCAGCGAGCTCGCATGCGACGACGCGCGCGAGCTCGGCCTCGACGTCGTCGACGCGCTTCGCGAGGCGCTTGCGCTCGTCGACAACCTGCTCGACGCGCTCGGGCACGCCGGGCGCGCCGCAGCTGAGCGTGCCGGCCGCGGCTGTGAGGAGCCCGTGCGTCGTGGAGATGTAGGCGAGCAGCCGCGGGCCCGCGAGGAAGGAGAGCCGCGCGGAGGTCGTGCTTGCGCGCGCGACGGAGTCGGTTTGGGGGATGATGAAGAGCTGCAGGTTGTGGATGGTGGGGAAGTGCGTGCCGCAGCATCTGGGAGGTGAGGTGGGTATCCAAGAAGGAATGACGGGGGAAGGGGGTGCTTACAGGCTGCGGTCGACCCCGTCGATGACGACCGTGCGCTTCACACCCCCGGTGTAGTCTACTGGAGGGCCCTTCTCTGCGCCGCGCCCTTGGGCGATCTTCGCCTCCATGATCTTGTCGCGGTCGAACTCCTCCACCTCGACGTGCACGCTGCGGCCCTCGAAGACGAGAGCGTTTGCGGTGTCCTGAGCAAACGCGATCTCCTCCGCGGTCATGCTGCGGGGTATCTCGACGTAGGCCGGGTTCGGCCATGTACTCAGCGACCATGAAAGCGTGGGCAGGTTCAGACGCGTCTCGAGGATGGCCGAGAGCAGATGCTGGGACGTGTGCATACATGACTGGGCGCAAATTGTTAGGAGTGTGTGCCCGGACGAACACAGCGCGCACGTACATGGTCTAGCCGTTTCTGGTATCCTTCCTCGCCCAGCGACGCCACGACCTGTGCGCCCGGGTGGAACGCAAGCTGTGCGGCCTCGACCTCTTCCTTGGGCACGGGGACGTAGTGTACAGCATGTCCGCCGTGCCTCTTGATCTCGATCACCTTCCAGGGTTTCTTGTCGGGGGTGGTTAGAAGGCCGACGTCAGAAGGCTGGCCTCCACCCTCCGGGAAGAGCACGGTATCATGGAGGATCACTTCCAGCAGTGTCTCCGCGGGTGGCGTGGAGGTCTTGTCTTTCTTGGACTTGCGACCATTCGAGGGCACGGTGGGAGATTGAGATACTGTGCAGCTGATCACAGTCGAGGCAAGCTCACGCAGCAGAGGGTCCCCTACGCAACACAGGTTAGATGTGTGACCTGAATTCTGGGATGGCTACATACGTTGGCATGCTAGCAATCCCACGGGGACCGGCACCTGCGGGTCGGTCGGGATGTGCAGAGTCGGAGAGACTACGCGATGGTATGTCGGCGGTGTCACAGGCGGGAGGAGGACAGCGGAGGCGGACATGTTTTGGCAGAGCAGCAGCGGTCTATCGTTTCTTTATCAGCTGTCATGCAGGTATAAAAAATGACTCGGAGCATGCTGATCAAGCCCGAAAGCCACCCCGACGTGTGTTACGAGTAGCACAACAGATGCATAGTTTGCTCGATCTTCTGGTTTCGCTTGAGAGACACATACTGGCACGAAAAGCGTTCAGCCGCTAAGACACAGGAGTTTGCACCAGTGATGTGCAATGGACTGACGGCACCGCGGGTCGAGGCGTGAGAACTCCTCCTCAACGAAACTTATCAACCGATCTATTAGCAGGCATCGTACAGGCTCATGCGAATCCCAGAAATCTGACCGCTCTTAACTTACGAGACTAATAGATGTATCTCCTTCCAGATGTCTGCCGAGTTTGGGGGTCCGCGGTCAAGCACATCACTGGTTTGCACGACTCGAAATCATCCAAACTCAAGTCGCTGGCCTTCGCTGGCCTGCTGCTGGGCTGGGCCGATGTGATGAGCTCCGACACAGTCCGACCTGAGCCGGACCGCGTGGACCGGCTAGCGCCCATCAAAAGTGCGGGGGTGTGTGGCGCCCCACGATTTGGGCGGCTCTGATGTTCTTCCGTCCTCGCGTTCTGTCCGAATGATTTGCTGCAGGCGCCCTCGAGAAAAGCTCCCAGCTGCATCTACAGCGCAGTATTCATACGAGCAGGCAGCTTCACGTCTGGGGTGACGATCGCAAGGTGCTCCGGAAAAGCGAGTCCGCGTTCGGTACGGCTTTCACCCGTGCAGGTCGTCGCCCCCACACCACTCAGTGCTCACCAGCTAGCGGATCAACGAACAACACGGAATTTGACCGCGCCAAGGAATGCAGAAACACAACGGCGCGAATGCTACGCGCTGTTCCTGGCTAGAAATGGGATAATTCCTACCGCCCCCGCGTCACTCCTGTGAGCCCAGGCGGGGCCCCATTTCTCCCCGGATCCGGCTCATCCTCGCGAGTATTTCTACACTTCCTCGCGGCCCTGTCCCCGGCGCGCACCCTCCTTCTCCCCACCTCTCTCGCGCCGCTCGTCTTCACGAACACGACCATCATGTCCGCCTCCGTCTCGGTTGCCGAGAAGAAAGACATTGAGTACGCTGATGACAAGCTCGAGGCCAATGTCGACAATGTCGACGAGGAGTTCGGTGGTCACGAAGCGCGCAAACAGCTGGAGAAGAAGCTCCTCCGCAAGCTCGACCTGCGCATGTCCATCCTCATTGTAATCTACATCCTCAACTATGTGCGTTTTTCCTTGCGATCGGCGTTGAAAATATTGACTTAAGATCGGATCCCTTACAGATCGACCGCAATAATGCATCGTGAGTTTGTATCGGACTCATGGGCGTGCCTCATATTCACGCTTCTCATCAGAGCTGCGAGATTACGCGGGTTCGAGTCGGACCTTCGCCTGGTGGGCCAGGAGTTCAACACGCTTCTGAGTATCCTTTATGTCGGCTATATCCTTATGCAAATCCCTTCGTAAGTCATACAGCATGCTGCGCGTCGGCTTCCCCTTAATTTGGTCCGCAGGAACATGCTCTTGAATCGTATCGGTCGTCCATCACTGTATCTTCCCTGCTGTATGATTATCTGGGGCACAATCTCCATCCTGACTGGTATCACTACCAAGTGAGGTCAACTTCGGCATAACTCGAACGGATGTACTCATCGATTTATTTCCTATAGCTTTGTTGGTGCCTTGTTGACTCGTTTCTTCTTGGGCTTCGTCGAAGCAGCATTCTTCCCCGGTTCGCTCTTCCTGCTCTCGAAGTGGTACAAGCGCTCGGAGTTGGGTGTACGAACGGCGCTGCTCTCTTGCGGTAGTTTGATCAGCAATGCGTTCGGTTCCCTGATCGCGTCTGGTATCCTCGACGGCATGCAAGGAAAACTCGGCCACTCCGCGTGGAGGTACGCCGCCCCTCCCCCGTCCACTAACTCGCATATCTGACCACGATACAATTCCGCAGATGGCTCTTCTACATCGAGGGCTCGCTCACCGTCTTTGCCGCGATCTGCGCCATCTTCATCCTGCCCGACTTCCCCGCGACATCGCACACGTGGCTGAGCCCGCTCGAGGCGCGGCTCGCGGAGAAGCGCATGGAGGAGGATGTTGGCGTCGGCGACGAGGCGCAGACGGAGGCGGGCGGCGCGGTGCACGGGCTCGTCCTCGCGGTCAGTGACTGGAAGGTCTGGTGGCTCGCGCTCGCGCTCACGAGCATGGTCGTCTCGCTCTCGTTCAATGCGTTCTTCCCGACACTCAGTGCGACAATGGGATTCTCGACGACTGTTACCCTCCTCCTGTGCGCGCCGCCATGGGCTTTCGCTACGATTGTCGCGTTCTGCGTGACGAGGTGTGTCCCGCTTTTTTGATGCAGAGATTGGGGCTGACGACAGTGTAGGAACTCGGATCGTGTCGGTGACCGTTTCAACCACATTGCGATCTCGCTGTTTGGCGGTATAATCGGTTTCATCATCGCTGTATCGACGATGAACACGGCGGCGCGTTACGTCTCTCTGTGAGTATCATTTTATGCCTGGCCGACGAAGTAGCGGCTGATACCTCTTGAAAAGCTTCCTGATGGCGCAGTCATACGCTGCCTTCATCACGTTCCTCGCATGGGTGAGCAACTCCATCCCGCGGCCACCGTCGAAGCGCGCTGTCGCCATCGCATGCATCAATGCGTTCTCGCAGCTTGGGAACGTCGCTGGATCGTACGTGTCTTGCTGTTCTTCGCTTTTGCACGATAATGCTGACCGGGGCTGCAGTTATGTGTGGCCGACGGCCTGGGGCCCGTCCTACCGCAACTCGTACGCCATTTGCATCGCGACAAACGGGCTCTGCATCGTCATGTGCTACATCTTCAAGAAGCACCTGGAGCATCTGAACAAGCAGCTGGAGGAGAAGGAGAACGAGGAGGGCAAGCCGAAGGGTTTCCGCTACTTCACATAAGGGTTGTAGCTATCGACTCCTTTGTACGATGTCCCGATGTTTCGATGACGTGCATCACGGGAAAAGCCAGATGAACGGCGAGGCAAAAATACCGCAGGGTTGAGAACTCAAGCACCGGCGTGCGCCGTGCAGATCTTCGCGAATCGAGCTCAGGAGAGGTGGTCCAAAATAGGTGGAAAAAATCACAATTGGTTAGCAATTCCTAGTTTCGATCTAGGGACTTCAGGGTGTCGCTGCGACCGGGACGATCGTATGAGCCCTGCACGCTTCCGCTGCGTCAAATTGCTATGAAGCAGAGCTCGCGTCTCGTCCAGGACGAGCGTGCACTGCGAGGTAGCAAGGGTTCCGGGCCAGATCGGGGAGAGATGAGAGGTTGATCGAGGGCGCGAAGAGAGGAAGCGGCGCACCGACGGCACGAGGCGCCGAGGGGACTCGCTGCGACTGATCCGTCCCGGACAAACCTCGGCGGTCCCGCGAGCGTGCACAGGTGACCGCACCTGACCGAGTACGACCGCCAGCCGCGGTCTTATAAGCACACCATGGAGGACCCGAATTCCCTGGCAATCTTTGCAATTGCGACTGATCAGAGAACGTACGATGGCGACAACCAGGCCGCTTCACGAGGGATGGAGCTTCACGCAAGTCGGAGGAGGCGAGATCGTGGAGGACGGCGAATGGCTCCCTGTGGACAGCTTCCCGACGACGGTGCATGTTGAGCTCTTGGCGCATAAGAAGATACAGGACCCGGTGAGTCTTTTTTGGATTATGTGGGTTGTGCGCGAGAGCTGGTGCTGATGCGGTCTGTGCAGTTTGTTGGGCTGCGTGAGTGGGACGTGCAGTGTGAGTAGCGCGTTTGGGTATCCGCGAAAGTAGGCTGATATGTTCGTGCGCAGGGATCGGCGAGGCAGACTGGTCTTTCAAGACGCAGTTCCAAGTCACCGAAAGCGAGCTTGCCGCGCCGAACGCGGACCTGGTTTTCGACGGTCTGGACACTTTCGCCACCGTCGCGCTCGTGAGTATATGCGTCTACATTCGAAAGGAAATGCCGTCTCATTGCCACGCCAGAATGAACACCAGATTTTAGAGTGAGCAAATGGCCTTGAGGCTACAAGGTCAGGTGAACTGACCGACCACGCAGGACGGACAATCAGTTCGTCGCCCACCGCGTGCCTGCGAAGCAATTCCTACAAGCTGGCTCGAATGACTTAGTTATTACCTTCGCGAGCGCGTTCCGTCGAGTAAGCTATAGAACAGACGAGGTATGACCACGATGCTGACTTATGACACAAAGGGTCGCGAACTTGAGAAGGAGCACGGTAAGCTCAACCTCTGGAACGGTGACTCAAGCCGTCTCCACGTCCGCAAGGCGCAGTACAAGTGAGTAGCACGCGCCGCCATCCGCTAGAACCCGTTCTGACGGCAATGCACAAGCTATGGCTGGGACTGGGGTAAGTCTGCCTTCCCGAAATTCGCAGTCGTACCTCACACTTGACTAGGCCCCGTGCTGATGACCGTCGGGCCCTGGAAACCCATCAGTCTTCACACTTACCAAACTCGGATCACCGACGTAGACATCCGAAGCAAAGTGCACGAGAATCTGTCCGCCAACCTAGACGTCGCATTCTCGCTCTCGAGCCGTGATAACCTCATCGCGGCGGTGAATCTGAAGGGCCCCGATGGGACGCTGGTGGTCGGCCAGAACAACGTCAAGATCAAAGATGGGCATACTCAGGTCCACTTCAAGCTGTCTGCCGGCGCATACGAGTTATGGCACCCCGTTGGGTACGGGAAGCAGCCGATATATCACGTGGAAGTGCAACTGGCGACTGAGGTAGGAGCTAGTGACACATAAGCTCTGTTTACGACGTTCGTGAAGTTTCTGACGCGTAAACGCTGAATACAGAAAGGCGAGATACTCGACTCACAGACTCAGAAGATCGCCTTCCGACGGGCGCGCATTGTCCAAGATGAGCTGATTGACCAAGAAGGTCGCACTTTCTTGTTTGAAATTAATAACACCAGAATATTCTGTGGAGGTCGGGCTTCTTTCATTTCGGATCTAGGTAGAAGACCAGATGGTTCTGATGTATTTCTCCACCAGGCTCGAACTGGATCCCAGCTGACTCCTTCCTTACTCGGTTTGTAACTCTCGTGCTAGACGCACAGACAATGCTCACAGGAGAACTCGACAGGATGACCCCCGAACGCTACCGAAGCTGGCTGCAGCTCTTGGTAGAGGGAAATCAGAACATGATTCGTGTGTGGGGAGGCGGCGTCTACGAAGACGACGCCTTCTATGACATTTGTGACGGTGAGTCCATTGAGTATCCGGCTACCGTGCGACGCACCCATTCCCACCTCAAGAGCTCGGGATCTTGGTGTGGCAGGATTTCATGTTCGGATGCGGTCAAGTGCGTCTACCTCCCGCGTTCCTGCGCCTTAGTCATTGATTCTGATGCAATGCAGTACCCGGCGTACGAATCGTTCACGAAGTCGGTGGAAGTCGAGGCCGAGCAGAACGTCAAGCGCCTCCGACACCACCCCTCCGTCGTCATCTTCGGTGCGCTGCATTCGCTATTTGCTGAGAGCCATATCATCTGACCGCTCGATGTCAAGCTGGGAATAACGAAGGTTTGTGCGCCGGGCTAGTGTTTCGACTGCATTGCTAAGACTTTCGCAGACTACCAGTTGGCCGAGTCGTGCAAACTGGACCTCGACTATTCTGATGAGAAGTCCGACTTCCGAAACACAAGCTTCCCGGCGCGCTACATCTACGAGCGGCTTCTTCCCTCCGTGGTCGAGCGGCTATGTGACATCCATTACCACCGCAGCTCTCCATACAGTGGCTTTGGCAAAGCTACCACGGATCAGAATTATGGAGACTTGCACCAATGTACGCTAAGGCGAAACGCTGCGCTATTAGTCATCATTAATGGTCGTGTGCAGGGAATGTATGGCACGGTTCACAGGAACCTTGGCACAAGTGGGATAAATTGGCCGGTCGATTCGTCTCCGAATTCGGAATGTGAGAACATACCAACGAGGTTTCGTCGCGTGTACTGATCGTTCTGCAGGGAAGGATACCCCAACATCCGCACCGTGGACTACTGGCTGGGCGACGACAAAGCAGAGCGCTACCCGCAGTCCAGGTACGTTTCATTTCGGATGATCAGTTGACTGCAAGATCCGATGGCATTCACTTCAGGACGATGAACAACCACAACAAGGCAGACGGCTTCGAACGCCGGCTCGAGGCATGTCGCAGCAGCTTTCGCGAAGGTTCGACAATCTGATCACCCGGACAGCTATACCTCGTCGAGAATTTCAAGCACTCGTTCGACCTGGAGAGGTGCGTGACTTGCCACCCGCGAAACTCTCACAGGAAGCATACTGAGTGCGCGCGTGCAGCTACGTGTACTACACGCAGATCATGCAGGCCGAGACGCTGGCGTCGGCCTACCGTCTGTGGCGGCGCAACTGGAAGGGCCCGGGCAGAGAATATACCGCCGGCGCGCTCGTCTGGCAGGTGCGTGCGCGGCGTTGCTGTCTCGTCGACGTGCCTGCTCACGGGGCGCGATCAGATAAACGACTGCTGGCCGGTGACATCATGGGCCATCGTCGACTACTTCCTGCGCCCCAAGCCCGCGTACTTCGCGATCAAGCGCGAGCTGCGGCCGTACACGGTGGGCATGGCGCGCGGCGAGCGCACGGTGTTCGCGGACGAGCGCAGCGCCGCGTTCTTCACGATCGAGAGCACGCTCGAGATCTGGGGCGCGAACAGCACGCTCGCGCCCAAGGCCGCGACGCTCGAGGTCGCCGCGTTCGACCTGCACTCGGAGTGGACGGAGAAATGGACGAAGCAGGTCACGCTCGCGCCAAACGCGAGCACGGAGCTCTACGCGGGCGCGCTTCCCGGGCAGCCGCCGCGCACGAAGCTCAGCGAGGTGCCCAAGGCGATCATCGTCTCCGCGCGGCTGCTCGACGAGGGCGGCGCCGTGCTCGGTAGGTACTCCAACTGGTAAGTCATTGCTCGTTTCGCTCGCAGGCGCCGCGGAGGCTGAGCAAACTGAACCCGCCCAGGCCTGAACCGTTCAAGTACATCGATTTCCCGGCGCTGGCGGAGCTTGGCCTCACTATAGTCGTAAAGCCCGATGGCGAGTCGGTGGAGCTGTCATCCAAGAAGCCCATCAAGGGCATCGTGCTCGACGTCGAGGGCGAGGACGTGCGCTGGAGTGACCAGGCGATTGACCTCGTGCCAGATGACCCCCAGATCATCACGGCTGCTGGCCTGAACGGCCGCCTGGTCAAGGCGCGGTTCCTTGGAGATGGTTCTGCTTGAGCGTCTGTATAGGGAAATGAGGCAGAGAAGGATATCCACGAGCATATGTCACTGTACTAGCCGCGCTATCGACGATTGATGTATCCCAGACGCCCGTCGTCATACCGCCCGTCATGCCACGATCGTCCGGATAGAGTAAGCATTTATTCGGGATTATGAACCTCCAGGGAGATGATGAGCTACATGTATGCACCCTGGCGTGTCGCCAGTGCGCGAGCGATCATACAAACTTTACACAGGTGAAGAAAAACATAGGGAACAGGGGGAGTTAGAAAGCAGAAACATATATACAGTCCGGAAACTACAAAAGAGACAACTTGAACCCAAAGCGGGGGAACGGGGGCTGGCGATATGGGACAATATCGCCGCGATTGGGCAGGTCGGGATTAGGAGGGCGAAGGATGACATGAATGCAGCGGGCAGTACGGCATGTGAGGTAGACGATGAACGATGCAATGTAATGTGCTGGGTGCCACGGGCAAGTGCGAATGTTCTATGAATCCAATGCAAGATGCGAAAGGGGAAATTCGAAGTCTATGCATCAATCACATGATAGTGCACTTGTTGGCTACCGGTTCCGCCTTGTTGCTGGGCAGCCGCTTTTCGATTTCCCCTAGGCACAGCTCGAAGACTTTGGCTGTATGCGCGTGTGAGGGACGCCACAAAGGAGAGCAGCTGTGAGATGAGTGTACTTACAGACGTTGAAATTTGTCTTTGCACTGGTTTCGACCCACGCAGCTTGATGGCTTTCCGCCAGTTGCTGTCCTTCTGTTGACGGTACCTGTCTGGTATTGCTGTGAGGAAAAGAGAACGTGGGCCCCATGTTGTGCACGATGGCAACGGATCGCAACGGCAGGTAGAGGGGTTGGTGTAGCAACATACCTTTGCGGCAAGTCGGTCTTGGCGCCGACGATAACGCACGGGATGGAGTTCATCCCGCAAAAGTTG